CGCACCCAATGAGCGGGCTCCCGCGCTCCCGTGACGGGTGCTTGCCCCTTTCCCGGGCGGTGGTTCCCCGCAGCTGGGGGTCGGGAGGGAGCCCCGGGCCCCGCTGTGCACTCGCGGTTCCTGCGCGGTCAGGGAAAGGGAACTCCGGGCAGAAAGGATTCTGCTGAAAAGTACCAAGGTTCAGGGGTAAATGTAATACAAAGTTTGGGTTGGGCTTTCTTTTTCTTTTTTTTTTTTTTCTTCAATCAAGGCATATCTTTCAGAGAAAAATTGACTTTTTTGAAAAGAATTTACGGTTGTTGGTTGTCTTCACCTTGCACTGAAGTAACTACACGGTGCTTAGTCACCATCGAGAGACTGTGAGCACAGAATCGGTCTGGCCTGCTGAATCTTTCCCGGGTGACGTTGTTTTGCCGTTTTTTGATGTTCTAGCCCGCCGAATCTTCCCCAGGTGACGTTGTTTTGCTGTTTCCTTCCCCCCCCCGAGATGCGCGCGATGCTGTGACCCAGCTCCAGCCCGAGATCCGCACGGACTGTTGCAAAGCCTGGGTAAGGCTGTCCCGAAGACTTTGTCCTCGGTTTCTCGGCTGCCGGAGCCCGTCCACGAGGCATGCAGCCTGCCACGACTCCTGGTCGGGGCTGATATCTCTGATAAGGTTTCTGGTGCTGCAGTGCGGAGCTTTGATGTGGTGAGCGGGGACTCGCCACGCAGCAGCAGTGGCCTGACGCAGCGGGGATTTGTCTCGGTAGGCGGTTTTCACAACCGATTTTAAGAGTTGCTGTTTGCTCTTGGTATAAAGTCTAAGCTTCTCCCTTTCCTAGGATGTGATATTGCTTGCAAAACCCATTAATGTAAGAGGACATAAAGATTAGCCTGCGCTGACTCCCCAGGTTCAGCGGCTCCTGGTCCTTGTGGGCAGCCGCCCCGCGCCCTGGGCATGCTTTCCCTGGAATACTTTGACCTGCAGTGACAAGGCCACATCTTCAGCCGAGCCAAAGGCATCCCTTGCCCTTCCCAGCGGGGTGTGTGCCGACAGGGTGGGAGGTTTCGAGCTGAGGGCTGGTGCCGCTGGCATCGTCTTTCCTCCTTGCTGTCACAGCTGCCATTTGCTGCCATGGCGTGTGTGAAGCGGCACGGGTCCAGCTCTCCCAACCCCTTGCTTTGAACCTCTTTTTTGGCGTGGAGTGAGTGGGTCAGCGCAGGTATTTCACCTCCCCTGAAGGGCAATGGTCACCGGAGCAGCAGCAGCAGGGGAGAAGGTCAGTGAGGTTGGCGGGCAGTGGGACTGAGCTCTGCCATCGTCCTGCTCTGCCAGGGCCGCGGGGAAGGGGCTGTTCTGTGCCCCAGCTTCTTCAGGTGTGTGATTGGGGCCTTGGGAAGGGCTTGCTGCTGGAGCAGAGCTGCCCTGTGTTGATGGACCGAAACCATCTCGGCTTTAGAGAGATCCCTACAGCTCCCTTTTGAGAAAGGAGGGAAAGAAGGCTTTTCCAAGTTGAGAGTTGCTTTCTCTCAACTTCTCACTTAATGACTGTTTGGAATTGGTAATACTTGGTTGTCATTAGCTTCTGAGGGTAGTGTAGTGTGTCTGGAAATCAGAAATACAGGACTGGAGGTGATATGTGAGTAGGGATCCAGTCCATTGCCATGTGCTGGGCTTCAATCCCGTATGTTGGGTATTGGATGCAGGAAGAGGTTTAACAGCTCCTCTGGGAAAGCTGTTCTAGTGTGATGCTGTGCTAGCTGGAAGCTGACAGAATGTCCAGCTTTGCTACAAACAAACCTGATGTATTCATGTTGCTATTAGCAAAGGCAGGAGAGAATAAATAATGACAACGACTTTATAAAAAAACCTTTCTGTGTTTGACATGGTATCACCATCTCCTTCTTTTTGAAGTTAAAGAAAACGGATTCCTTTAAGCTTTCTTGCTAGGTCACATTCTTCTAATTCTTCTGTTTTCTGTTTCTCTGCTGAATGCTTTCTAAGTTGCTGTTATGTGTCTCCAGAGCTGGATGTCTGTTTTAGATGGCAGTTTGATTATCAATTACATCCAGCTTTGTTAATTATGTCACTGGCTGACTTGTCTCTTAAGCATTTTCATGTGGGTTTTTATTTAGTTTTTTTATCCATTTTAACGCTAAGCTATTGTTACATCATTTTCTCCTTCATACAGGTAGTTCTTCGAAATTGTATTCACAGAATTATATTTTGATGATTTCAGACAATTTCTGTAACTTGCCCTGGATCTCTCTTCAGAGTATTTCTGGTGCTTATTCACACCAAGCTCAGTGTTGGTTGGAAGCTTTATGAATAAGCTCCTTACTTTGTGATCTAAATCATGGGGAAAATATTTAACGGAACTAGACTAAGCAAAAAGCCTTGTGCAGCTCATTTGAGATGCGCTCCCTGATGACAGAGAACCACTCTTCAGGAGCACTCTGAAAAGAAGATAAAATTTAAAATTACTTCCTAGTGACTGAATTGTACTTCCTCAGGTGGCTTAGTGGAATAGAGATCTTGGCAACAATTTAAAATATAAAGACACTTGCTTGGGATTATTTCCCCGAGTTTTCTATGTGGTGCTGTAAGATGATTTGGGACATCAGAGGTGGTGAAAAACCAGTCACTTGAAATCCCCGAGTGCGTGGCACTTTCTGCTCAGGACCTGCTGCCCTCGGTTACCTGGCGCGGGGGGGTTGCAGGTGCCTCTTCTGCTGCCGTAGTGCTGGCTGTGTGCCTGCTTGCCTCCTCTCCTCCTCTCCTGAGAGCTTACAGCACGAGCAGGGCTTTCACAGCGCCGTGGAACAAAGCGTGTGGAAGAGAACTACAGACCAGAAAAAACCCACTAATCAAACTGTTATGAGAAGCACGTTTGATATTGGGGGCTGGTTAGCAAGGCATAATCTCCATCCACCTTGTGCATCGATTCTGTTATGGGAGTGTTTTCCTTCTTGGATATTTGAATCGTGATCCCAACAGGACTTCTACCTGATCTCTTCATACCCTCTCAAGGCTCAGTACCTTCAAACCACGGGGGCGTATTCTGCTTCTGTTTCATTACCTTTGTTTTTCTTTTCTCACAAATAGGTGCAACCCTCAAAAGCGCCCTCACTTCAGGCTATGATGGGATTGTTTTGGCTGCTGCTGCTTTACATCCCCGTGCTGTCACCTGCGTTTGCAGAAGGTGTCACCCGCATCTATTACCTGGGGATCTGCGAGGTGGACTGGGACTACGCTCCGACAGGAAGGAACGTGCTGGCTAGCCAGAGCATTGCACATGACCTGTATGTTGCATTCTGTAAGAATTAATCTGCTACTGCCTTAAAATAGTAATTTTATGTGTATTTTCATGCAGCTATTCTGGGGCATCTAAGCAAGCAAGAGACACGATCTGAGAGATATTTGATCTTTATGGGTTTAATGTTTAACGTGTTTTATCAGAGGAACTTAGAAACCGTATCAGTGGGAGAAGAAAGGGTCAGTTTAATGGAGCTTGTGGTGAGCAGAGCTCGAGGGAAGAGAAGGCGTCTACAACAGGACAGATTGTGCAATGCTCTGCCCCGGGGTTTCGTTTTCCTTAGTTCCAGCTGGTGATCGACTTGTATACCCCGAGGCACAGTGACTTTTCACCTTCATGTGAATGACTTCACAGAGCTGGCTGGGCTTTGTTTAAATGGAATTTCAAGCCTTTGACTTAATTGAACTTCCTGCCTGAAATTTTAGGGGTTGTTTGAAAAATGTTTTTGTTGCAAAAGTCAGTCTGGAAACTGCAATAGTTACTTTGAGTCACTACAAAAATGGGTTTTGGTTTTAGTTTTCAAAACATCCAAACTTTTTTTTTTTTATGTTTTTTTGGCATAGCTTTCCTTAGCTTTTTTTAAGGCATTTGTGCTTTTTTTCCTACCCCCTCATTTTCTATGGCAAATAACCTGTATTTCTCAATCTCAGTTATTTACCCCTCCATAATAAATAACAGTTGAGTTTATAAATATCTTTCAGAAACAGCACAGCAGGAATAGGAGGGGGTCACAGGAAAACACCAAGGTCTGTCAGTTTAGCATGGAAGAGTCTCTGTTCACCCTGGAGATGCTGAATAGACTTAAATTAGTTCACAGAAAAGGAACTCCCTCAAAATTCAGGATTAATAAAGATGTTATCGCTGACTCCTGCAGTGATAATGAATGCAGTGGTTTTTGTTTGCTTTCTCTTACAGAAAGAAGGAAATACATGAAGAGAAGGAAATTAAATTCAGGGCCATTAAACTTAAAAGCATTTGAAAACTATTCTGTCACTGCAGACAATTAGCTAATGGGACTTACTTGTAGAATGATTGCAGAAACGAAATTTCTAGCAATAAAAGGATATGATATTGATATGAATGGTGGAGGTAGTAAAATGCTTGAAGAATTTTTTTTTTTCTGGGAAGAAATGGGCTGC